CTGCCAGCCTGCACTCCTCTGTTGGCGTCGGCACATGCAGCTCAGCAGCGCACCTTCTAAAGTCCTCCAATGTGTCCTCATTTATGTCCAGCAGGCATCCGTCACAGGTGCCAATGTTATGCGACGCGCAAGACGTCACGAAGAATGCGGTGACCTTCTGAAGGCTGGATTGTAATGTTCCGCCCGACTTATCTAAATATCTGAAATGCATTTTTAGCAATCTGAATGTCCTTTCATTTACAGTACATGCTTATTTCTGATAATGGACTCAAAAGGTTTTTTAATAATATGGTTTGTTATTTACTTAATATATAAAATACCATTTAATAATGCACCACTGTCTTTAGACGTGGTTTTTGTTGGTCAAAAGCGCAATGACATTGCGCTGCCTTAAAACAGCAACGCACTGACAACGCGACTGGCCAAGCCTCATTTGAAAAACACCACTCCTGCGAGCGCGAAGCGGGCACAGACATGTGACGATGTGTGTGCATGGCGTGAAAATGAGCAATGCGCAGGTATGAAACTAGCAAAACCATTCTGTGTTGCACTTTGCGCAGGTCCAAAATAGGTGTCACGCTTCGGCAGGCAGGTGAGCAGGGAAGCAGGCGAGAGCAGCCAGGAAGTCCGATAAAGGGGTTTTATTGGGCACACGACGAACAGGCACGGACATCCACGGACAATACAATGACAAGTCTGGGGAAGACTGACTCCGACGAGGACTAAATACAAAAGACAAGCTAGACATAACAGGACACAGGTGATCACAATCAGGGCTGAACACGAGGTAACGAGGTGGGCGTGGCACACATCAGGAGCGGAGAGAGCGGATCATGACAATAGGGCCCAATAAATTTCAAGTCAAACTCCTAAACTATGTGAGCTAGGCCAGTGAAATTTAGGATTTTTATTGTTAGCCCAGGGGCAAACAAAATGCCACAAAATCATTCAATTCTGAGATGGTCGAGCGAGGATCATTTGTTGAGTTGAGCCAGAATGACCCTAAACTATGCAAACATGTGTCTGTTTCTGGACTGTAATCCCTGCAGAAGACCAAAGAGTTTTAGCTTCCAGTTATTACAAATGATATAAAACCAAGGAAATCTGGATGAGATTTCATTGTCCTGCAGAGATGTTATTGATTATAACTTAGCTGATGGAATTAATTCCAAAATATTTAGGTAGCTGGCAGCACAAAATATGGTTAAATTTAAAAATAACGTCTAAAATATGTTAGCATCAAGTAACATTCAAAATAGGTCCTCGGTGTGCTGGCTGTGACTGCGCATTGTAAGTTTTCAAAAGACATTTTGTGGTGAATAATTTTTAGAATATTTATGACACTGAATGCTTCTCCACGTCCATTTCTCTGTTTGTGGGTTAAAACACATGGTGTACATCTGTTGTGTACATGTGCTGAATGTATCTGTGTTGTGTCCTATGCATGAGAAGCAGATCTTAGGTTACTTTGCAGTAAATATGTAGGGGGATGCCCTACACTAATGAGCGCATGTCCGGGTCCCAGCTGTGCCGATAATCTGTAGGCGTCGCAGTAACTCCTGCGAGGATCATTCAGCTGACATGAAGAACGAGGTCATGGCGTGTCCCACATGCTACGTACCGCCCCTCTGTTTGCCGGCTGGCGGGGGCGCTCCACTTCGCCCTGGTCCCACGGTGCGTCTCTGTCGCCGGATTCTCGAGATGAAGCAGACAGTCCACATCACTCATGTGTAGGCAAGCAGTGCAACAACTTAAATCACGCTATTCCAGAAGCTACATTATTAACCCGTAATTTTCTGTTTATCAGGATTATATTTGTGTTCTGCGTACTTGTTTGCTCTATCTGAACTGTCTGTGCACACTGTCCATTTTGCACTATATTATATGCTGCTGCTGTTTGCACAGAAATTTCCCCCCCGGGATCAATAAAGCTTATATTATTGATCTAAACTTTACAGATCTAATATAATCTAACTTAATCTACAGTATCTGACAGTTACCATATGGTATCAATATCGACCTTCATTCAAGGCTGCGCTCACTGATCCAAATATTACCAAACCAATGCAGTACAAAAATTCCAAAGCCTATATTGTGTTACACTAATAAAAATTCACAATATCAAAAAGCAGTTCTCCCTGCTTGGGTTACAGCTCTTCACTGCTTCATCCTATAATGCATAGACTTCCCTTTCATCCTCGACCAACAGATGCAAGACATTAACAATTCGTAAATTCGTAAATTTATTGGCATGCTGAAATAATTTATTCGGTTACGACAGTTCATACCGCTGTTAAACACTGGGAATGTTCACACAAAATGCCTTAACGCCAGTGAGTGGTGTCCTGCTAGTCAGTTCTGGGCCTCGATCTCAGCAGGAGTTCATATAACAGAAGTAATGATGACTGGCTCATATTTGGCTAAGAGGATGTTGGTCACTGGTCTAAAGGTGATGCTCGCCGTCCTTTACCCACCTTTACAAACCTGGCAGCAGGACTCCGGCACAGACACGGGGGATGGGCAGCTCAGCTTGGGGCAGGTGCGCAGCCGGCAGTAAACTTTGCCTTCCTGGAGAGGCAGAGGACGCCCCACCCCCCCGCCCAAGGACACCCCACCAGGGAAAACAACGTGTAACTTTCAGACAGATACAGAAAGTGCGCTTTCACCTCCCTCAAAGGCTCTATGGTGAAGCACTCAGAATATCACGATTTTACCACTCGTGCACCGATATCTATAAATGATGCATAGCTGATAGAAAGCAGCTTATAAAAAGCCATGTTTTCTGTAATGCGATAATTATATTCCACTAACAGTGCAGGCGGCCATATATGATGGGCACTGCAGTCCGGGCCAGACACTCACAGAGCAGCTGCACTGGGAACACTGGTTGGCATGGCGACTGGGGAAGAGACCCTCCGCTACAAAGACATCCCCGTGCTGGTACAGCGCACCTTTATAGACACAGGGCTTCCCTGCGTTGTGGGCGGCTGGTGGGGGCGGGGACACCTCTACACACACGAGGGCACAGACACTGCATTGTAATACGTGGGTGTATGTCTGCAAATACCTGCACGTCAATATAAATGCATAACGTACAAAACAATGGGCTACAATCTTAATAATAATAATAATAATAGAAATGACAACAACAATAATAATAATAATAATAATAATAATAATAATAATCCATCCATCCATTTTCTGTACATGCTTGGCCTGTGCAGTGTATACAGTGACACCGACAGGGAATTTGTCAACTAAAATAAATGATTGATGTTGTTATTCAGGGAAGATGGGCTGATTAAAATTCATTTTGCATGTTAACTATGAGCCATTATACTAAAAAAGGAGGGAAAAAATGAGGTGTGGATTTTTTTCTATATAGTTACACACAGTTGAAGGGGCTGATCAGAAGCTTGAATAATACAAACCAGTGTTTCGCAATCTGGCCCTTGGAGACCCACAGCCGGTCCACGTTTTTGCTCCTTCCCAGCTCTTACCGGACTGTCTGGCAGGGAGCGCAGAGGGAGCAAAAACGTGGACCGGCTGTGGATCCCCGAGGACCGGATTAGGAAACGCTGATATAGACTAATAGCACTGCATTCTGAATGCAGTGTGAGGTTGAATCACATGGGCAGCATGTCAGCTGAAGGCACAGGGAGGGCACTGGCACAGAAGGGGCCCTACCTGGGCACCGATGGCAGCACTGCTGCGGCATCGGCACGGGGCTGCTGCACTTCAGGGGGGGGCACCTTACACGGTTACACAGCACGTTACCCCCCTGTAGGTGGGAGAGGCATGGCAGTGTCTCAGTACTAAATCCAGGCCGTGTTTTCAGTTCTCCCAGGTAGTTAGTATAATAATTACTGATTCTGATTGGTCAGAGGCTTCACACCTGGCTCACAGGTGAAGGAAGGCTGGAAAACCAGCAGGGCTCGGCCTTTGAGGACCGTGAGTTGAACAGCCCTGACATACACTTTAAAATTACAGTCACAAATGAGAAGGAAATATTTCACTGCCTGTGTAACATACTGTATGTCACAGACCAACTGAGATTAATTTTGTTCTCATTGAGAAAAAAAATACTCCATATGCACACATTTTTCCCAAGTAAGCATCTGGTCTATGGTAAATATGTATAGTATTACTTAAACCTAATTATAAAAAAAAAGAAAAAAAACCCTGAGAACAACTGAAGGGACTCAGCGAGAAATACGATTCATACCTCGGTGCAAAGACAGCTAACGCAATACACATATCCGTACGGCTCCAAGTACGGGTGCCACTGCTCTCCCAGTCTGTACTTCTTCTCCTGAAACGTGCACAACCTGTTGGATTCTGGAGGGGCGAAGACGGACAGCGGCTGCGTGACGGACAGGTCCACGGCCTCCTCCTGTTTACTGCGGTGGTCGATCTGCCCAGCTAACTGGGTTTCTTGTCACACATCTCATTTAGGGATATTTTATACAGACTGGGAAACTGGCCAGTATTAAGTATTGCTTTATTTTAAGAAAGATCACGCCACCGTATAAAATAACACTTATCCGTTCAATTAGCATTTCAATTAATTAGCACATAATTTCCATATAGCTGAGACTTGTTCTGTTTGTAGTTGAGGCTTAAGCCCCGCTTACGTTTCGAGGGGTCTGACTGCACCCTGTCGCCGATGGTTTGCAGTAACATCCACCCCAGCAGGACGCTGAGATCTCTGAGCCCCCGCTGTGCCGCCATGATGCCACCCAACCAAACGCTCAGTTGCCCAAGAGCGTCTAAAACTAAAATATGAGAATAATGAAAAATTCATGGTAAGACCATGGGCAGCAATCGTTTTATACGAGGCGAATCTGTTGTCTATAGACCTAATTTCTATAAAATTTCATATTTAAAATTTCATATTTCATATTTAAAATGCAAGCTTTATGGCAAAGATGTAGCCTACCATATGGCTTTACTGCTGTATAGGCCTACTGTATATTCAGCGTGTCCTATTGAGACAGAAACAGACTGACTCTCTGCTTGGCAGTAAATAATGGGAACATCTACAAATGCCGGAGAAGCTCGATAGCGCAGTTCTTTGCCTGAAAATGGATGAAAATGCTGCAATTCAAATTCAAGAGAGACGCTACACTTACTGGCAAACAATTATCTTACTGTAATCCCATCAAACCCAGAAGGAACCAGTGTGAAGCATTTACATTTCAGGCACAAGTTCAAAAGGTAGCCTATTCGCAAGAGGAATGGAGCTGTACGAGACACCGTTTTTTGGTTGAGTCTCGGCTCATAAATGGCAACTAAAAATAGAAGAACGCAATGCATAATAACGAACAGGGAGAATTTCAAACCCTGCGTTTTAGTTAGAACATTTGCCCGACAGATATCATGACATTCAACATGTAGCAAGCCGACTGCTGTTTTTGGAGAACTGTACTTCATGTAGCCGCCACAAAAAATATGGAAAAATCCCTAAGAGCAGTTTGAAAGATATTTTTTTGAAAGAGGGTTACATACGGGTCTTAAATAAGATCATGTAACAGTTCCTTATGCGCGGTGTTTGGGAAGTGGCTGAAATGGGCAAATAATTCAGATTCCTTTTTAAAAATGAGTTGTCACCACTTAGACTGTATTTGAGGCTCGTGATATATGGTTTATCATTGCAAGCAAACCCAGATGTTACTTTTCCAGCATCCAAACTGTACCAAACTATGAAATTTGGAGATGAATCTTGCAAATACACCTATGCATTAGTTAACATTTTAGCAACATATAGAAAGCAATGCAATGCCTAACATCTATTTCCAAAGATGTTACTGTAATATGAACCTGAGTTTTGTTGAGGGACGTATTACACTATGGAATTCAAAAGCCTGTTAATTTAACTTAAAGCACCGACTTAATACAGCTGCAGCGTCACAGCTTCAAAGGAACGATCCAAAGCTAATCAATCAATACGTCATTGTGCATATATGACACCACGTGGTCTATATGCAATTCAAGCGCTACGGCTGCCCTTCTTCTTTTTTGTGCCTTGGCAGCCGTGACAAACGCATCATTCATGCGTGCCTCGTTTTTATAGGACGACCTACACGAGATGTGCCTCAAAGCTGAGCTGTCAGATAGCCGCCCGGAAAGGACGAAGCTGCCTACCACATGCGATATCTTATTGACCCATCAAGTAACATCCAAAGCATATTAAACGAGAATTAGACAAACCACAATATTTAAAGTATGCGTTTGGCCGTTATGATTTATTATTTAATGTTTCTGTTGTTCTATGTTTATTATTCGGCTTGTCTACATGAACAGATGTTTAAACAACTTATAAATTTTAAATCAATTTATTCAATTTGCAACAAACAGGCTACATTTCACCAGGCAAACGCACTTAAGATTTAATGTAAAGCAAAAATAAATGTCATTTAAATTATTCAATTATTTATGTCTGATACAGCCTGAAATATATTACGACAATATCAGTAAATTTCAATTGTAGCTTTAATATTATATTAGTGAAGACTTATGGGAATTGCATTTCTTTGTCATTTTAAATAACACTTTCATTAAAAAAAAAAAAGCGTTTAACCGTCGAAGAGAAATGCTCAGCATACTGTAGCACTAAATGGACCGTACTTTAACAGCCATATAGAACACCACGAGTCACAGTTTTAGTTGTACATAATCTAGTATCATCACTACATCGACATTAAATATTATGCAGAACTTACCGAAGTCTCTGAATGATTTAGTGTCTTGGTCCTAAAGCGCTTCAATCGCGGTTAAAGAAAAGGTACAAAGACTTCTTTATCAAAGACCATTAAACTGCAACAAACCCCCTCCTTTATTTTCATTCAGGACATCCCAAAGTAGTATTTTGAAGTCATATTTGGAGCAAAATGCAATTAGGACGAAAGCACGCACCCCGAAACGTGTACTCTGGACCAGAAAAAGAAAAAAAGGATGAAACTTTAAAAACAAAACACACGGTATAGTCTTTGGCACCTGTACGCGCAAGTAATAAATAAATCAAAGGCGTACAAGTAAACTTGGATCACCGAGATTACTTCCAGACTCTCCCTAATCTTATCAGGAAAATAGGGAGAGCACCAGAAACGGGAAAACCAGGATTTTTTTCCTCGTCCAGACTGGCCAATGGTGTACAGCGGGTGTCTGTCTGAGAAAGGGGCTTTGGGGTGTCGGCTATTACCCTGCTGGGGTCTTTTGGGTGCTGAGGTCGGCTAGAGATATTTTACTGCCACGTCTTGTCGCCACATCATTAATCATGAAATATTTTGTTTGAAATAAAAGTAAACATTATGACACTTATAAGTATTATAATTCACAACGACGCCTATATTTAACTAGTCAACTTAAGGCAGTACCGTGCTCAAAGGTACAAAAGCAGACCTTTTTTTGTTAAATGAAACAAGAATAATTTGTGCTTGCTGCAGTACTACCGAAGAAAATGTTATGTTTAGTTCATATTTACACAGTAATATCCTTTGGAGACCACTATAACAAATACTGACATTATCTACAGAGTGTTTTATGACCACAGTCGGTTCATGCGGACGGAAACCTGACTTTCTGCCAGAGGCGGACCATAGGTAGTATTCAACTGTGGTGTGAGTTAGCAAGGATTTAGTTTAGTGTTAAAGCATGTTCAACTATTAATAGATTGCAATAAACCAAGGGGGGACGTCTTCACCAGCACAGGTCAAATGAGGAGAAAAAAATGCCGAAGCCTTCACATTTCCAAAAAGATCCATTTGAAATTGATTTTGATTTCAGCCATAATCCCTGCAGCTCAGCACAAACAGAATTCCTACCAGATGTATAAAAATACTCGTTTTAAAAGCATAACATATTACCTAATATTGTACTATCTGTATTAAAACAATACTCACATAGTATGGGAATACTACGATTTTAGACAAACTAGTGCTTCAGGATGCCCACTGCAATAGGCAGCCATTTTGACTATATTTATCTATGCAGTGAACTAAGGCTCAAGTCTTTGGACTACCTTCAGAGCTGTAAAACGCCAAATTATAAGGCGCCACCTTCAGGCTGAGTAATGAATAATGTGCGACTGAAACACAAGGAAACAAAATACAATCCCAGCTGTTAATGTTTAATAAACATTCCATTTTTCAGCTATTTCTGTTTAATTGATCCCTTAAATGCATTTGCATTTTGTCACTCTCTCAAGCATTCACACAAAGCCACTTAGACTTAATAGCACTGGGCCAAATTCAGTCCAAAATAATTTGAGAAACTTCAATTCTCCCAATTAAATGATATAAATCCTGCACACGGAGATAACCAAGATGAATACGGAATCGCAGTAAACATCTGTTTTAGTTTTTAACAAAAAATATATGCACATAATGTTGTGCATCCATCTGTCTGTCCATCCATCCATCCATTACCCCCTATCTTCAAACCACAAATTGAATACAGATTGGGATGTTTCTGGAGTCCATCCCAGGCAGCGAAGGGCATAGGGCAAGGAACAACCTCAATGCCTTTGAAATAAATTTCTCTAAATATTCTTTCTTTCAATGACCACCTAACTTTTGAAATTAAAGCCTAATTTAGATGTAGGACATACGTAGTTCTAGATTCCATTTTGGGGGGTGGGGGGTCTTTTTTGTCTCAGTCCCCCCTAAAAAATAATTTTTATAAAACCATTTAGTAATTTGTGCTATATTTTCATGTGCATTTCACAGCCCCATATTTCTCCAGGAGGCTGAGCTCCCATAAAGGTCAAAGCCTATAGAATCGCCCCTGAAGTAAGATAAAATGTATTTTATTTTATATTATATTGATTACGGAGGAAATAATCATGCATGCAGCAGTAAGATACACAAAGTACACAGATATATAATGCAAAGCAAAGTGCAAAGACACATAATACAAATAATTGTAATCAATACATGTATAGCGATGCAATATAAGTAAACCTAATCAAACATGTAATTACCCACTGAATATATGTACCTATGGTACAAATTCTAGGGCCCATTTTGCTCTTGTGCAAGTAAACAAAAGGCATTTGAAGGACATGTAATAAATGTATTAAAACTGAAGTTGTCTTCTTACCCAGAATCCTCGGGGCTTCTCCTCCTGCCCGCCGTGCCCCTCCTATCCGCCTGCCTTTCTCCAGTTTCAGCCAGGATGCAGTCATACACCTGCACATATCCGGCCATATCAGCCTGAGATGGGACACTTCCTCACCCGGTGAAAAGTGAAGGCTTTGCTGCACATGCACAAGCACAGATAGAGCAAACATGCACAGTGAGTTCTGTATCGCTGGGATGTAATGTTTGCCTGTAAACATGGCAGTCATTGCTAGATTATCAAAAATTTGTCCAAAGGGATCATTTTAGACATCCATGATTCTAGGCAAGACAAGTTTATTTATATAACACAATTGCAAAGCAATTCAAAGTGTTTTACAGAGGCATAAGGATACATTAAAATAGGAGACATTAAAATCACATTTAAAAGACAATAAAAACAAAAACCTTAAAGCCAAAAGAAACAGTTAACTGAAAAGAAGTTATGTTGCACTGGCAGTGTGTCTTGACTTGTGAAATGAAGGACTCGAGGGGCGGTGTTAAGGACAACAAAAGGGGCTTCACTGAACAGAACGGGGGCAGGGAACCAAACCAGACCACAAGAGGTCAAAACTGGGAAGACTAGGATGAGGACGGGCACAGGCAACCAGAAGTCTGACATCAACAACCAGATTGGAGAACATAGGACTGGGAAGCACTTATATACAGGACTAAGGAGGGGCTGACATGATACAGGTGAGGATGGTAGCACACTATGACTGAGACACTCCTGGGGAGAACCAGAAGGGATCCGTAGAACCAGCAGCAACTCCTGCTGGTCATATTGGGGGAAGGACGGGACAGGTCGTGACACAGTGCATGAATAAACTCCTGCTGCAACAAAACTGCAAGAAACAGTGTTGTTTTACGCCCTGATTAAAATGAGCTGACTGCTGCAGCAGCCCCCAGGTCCTCGGGAAGCTTAACCCACAGCTGGGGAGCATAGAAACCGAACGCTGCCTCACCCTGCTTGGTCCTGATTCTGGGAACACTGAGTTAACCTGTACCAGATGACCTCAGGGGTCTGGATGCTTCATAACATACAAGTGAGAAATGCTTTGAGGCCTCAGACCATTTAGTGCTTTGTACACAAGTAATAATATTTTTAAATCAATCCGGTGATGCACAGGAAGCTAGCACAGTGATTTAAGGATCGGTGTAATACATACTCATAATTATAAGAAAAACGTAAGATAAATTCTTATTAAATAATCCATGAACCATCTTTTTGAATGACCATTTTTTCAGAGTCTAGGGGGTGCAGACCCATCCAATACACCACAGGGCATAACGCTAAGGTACATCCTGTATAGGGTGCCCCTTTGGCTATTTGTATTGTAATTTATTGTTACTTTATTTCACTGTAGTCTACAGATTCCCTTTCTGTCCTGAGATTCATTGAGCATTAGATTTAGACTTACTCAAAGCACCTAAAAAACAAATAAAGCGAATAAAGATTATGTGTTTGGATGGGTATTGGATTATTCCACATTTGAAATCCATTAGACAATCGTACTTACACACAAAAAGACACGCATTACTTTGCTGTTACAAAGCTTTTTCAAGAACTGAAACATTTACGGACAAATGTTAAGCTCTTGGAATTTACACAAACGTCAAATGTTAAAAATAATATTTGTAACAAAATGTAACAAATATTTGATAACATTTTGGGGCACAGTTGACACTAAGATTTTTATCAAAACACATTAAATGATACTATAAACATATGCGAATAAGTATGACTGTTTATTTAAGTTTTATTTGATATTAGTCTACACCAGCGAGTCTCAACCCGTGGGTCGCAACACAAATTTGGCAAGTTCTAAAAGGCGAAGGCAGTTCGAAATGTAAGCATTTTTTAAACCAGCGAGCTCCTATGCTGATCCACGATCAGATTTCCCAGTCCGAGTCCTAGAATTAACTTATATTAACGGGTCTCAGGGCTGCAAATGCTTAGCGCGAAACTGAGTGAAAACTCAACCAATCCAAGAAGCCAAATCACTATGCTTAATTAAAAATTCACTGGCACATCCAATCAGATTCGTGCGATAGGTAGTGATTGCCGTAAATTGCAGCGTGCACTGCATGATTGATCATGGCGTTCATTTAAATCCGATATATGGTCGCGAATTAGCTGGCATGGAAAAATTGGGCTGCGGTGCAAATAAGGTTGAGACTCACTGGTGTACACAGACTTTACTATTTTTACCCTCTTTATCAGACTACCCCCTGGTGGTCATAGTCGGAAGATGATGTAAATTGACAACTGATTCAACTTTGTTGTCTAATACCAGCCACGTGTATTCGGCGGAACAGAACTGGCTAACTACATAACCAAAATGATTAATAACTGTGATTTACGTCCTCTTTAAATGTACAAAAATATATTATCAAAATTACATTCAGCGTTGTGCTCTATTTTAAGTCATTGACCTTATTAAGGTTAATTTAAGCTCCTGCATTTATAGGTTTCCTGATTAAAATCAGGCTCTAAAAAAATCAGCTTCTAAAAGCTAAACGGGAAATATTGGCTGTGCCATTTCGCCTGATATGCAGGAATCTGACTGAGCCGGACCACAAAGAACTGGGGGTTTAACATAAAGAAGTGTATTGCTGCATTGTATTACTGGTGACTCTTCTGTCATCACAAGCTGCTGATCTATTTGCTAAAAAAAAAAACCAGCCAATATACTGTCCTCTGGGTGAATGAACAAATAGGAAAATGTTTTAGCTGCATTTAATGTGCAGTAAATACCTGCTTGGTTTCGAAGTCTTTAGCTTAAGATACAGCCAATCCAAATCCAACAGGCAGACACAAAGTCAAAGGCGCTGATAAGTAGGATTACCTGCACTTCGTCATTTTCGCCAAAAGAGGGCGACCAGAGGCTAGTTTCTCTACCAAAGTGTACCGGGCAGTCTGAGCTGAATGAGCAGACGCTTATTCAAACGGTGGCCTATAGGGACTCTTTCTAGGGTCTCTTGATGACAGTCTAGTCCTTTTCCTACCTGCTGTATGGGTTTTTATAAGCAAGGGAAGAGACAATAGTGAATTTTTTTGT